CCTACCCCCTAACATTTTGCAATCAATGTATTGTTTTTTTAAATATTGTAATTATAGGTTATAATTATAATTTTTTAAAATTAGAAAATATATGTAGAGATTTTACTGATATGGTATTCAACATAGAGTAACAAAATGATTATAATATTACGAACATAACAAACTTATTTTAAATTTTTGGTACTGGAAAAGACAATGTAAGGTTGCCATTTGGTTAAAAAATAAAAATACTACCTATAACGTAATCATCATCCAAACTCCTCTGCCACCCCATGTCAACCCAAAATAAACAAATCAACAACCCCCCCGCTCCCCTATAGTGCTTACGTAATACTTGAACAGCCCCTAAGGTGTGGATTTTCTTCAATTTTTTCACGAAAAAAAATAAAAAGTTTGATAAACTAACGAAATTACCAACACTATTTATATTTTACTAGTCTTGTCTCTCGAGCTTCTCGGTACTTCACGTTCACGGGGATTCTACGCAATCAATCACAAGCGATCATGCGTTGATCAATCAGTCAATAATCAATCAAAACCGAACGATAATCGATCAAATATGTCGTTTGCATGAAATATCCACAGGACCTAGGAAGCTGTAGCTGGCACCCAGTGACCGGCGATGACCGTCCGATTACGGTGAAGAATTCTAGACAAATAGGGAGGAGGACAGTTTTAAAACGGGCTAAACTGCTTAACTTTTAATTGATAATTTTGATTATGCACCCATAGTATACTTTTTTAATATCTCATTTACCCCTGAATTTTGTACCACTTCAGTCACTTAACTATAACCAAGATTTTGAAGCCAAAGGATACAAAGTCTGCTCATCTTTGAACCAATTGAACCATGCCAAATTAATTATTAAATAAGCTTAATAAGTAGATCCATGTTCTTGTGTACTACGATCTTGTGTAATACGATTGTTCGCACAATACGCCATTCTGCATCAGTTTCTGCACTTTCGAACATAATTTTGTTTTCTCCCATAATACGCTTTTCCGTATAAAATTTTTTTTACACGGAAAGCATTTTTTGTCCGGTCTCTGGAAATCGTCTTAACGAGGTTTTACTGTATGTGATTCGTTAAATGGCCAGTGCCAACGTTTGTACATAATTTTGTGTTCTGTTTTCTGGTTCAGTCAGGCGTAATAAATGTCGATATTTTGGTAAATATACACACAGATGTGTATATATATATATATATATATATATATATATATATATATATCAGGTTGTCAAATATCTCCCTTCCGCCCTTTTGTATTATAAACCAATAGCAAAAAAGCGGAAGGGAGATATTTGACAACCTAATATATATATATATATATATATATATTTGTTTAAGTTTTCTGCATATATATTATTAATTATGATTTTTTTTTATTTAATTTTTCAATTATTTTATTCAACATTTCGTTCATATGGAACGTTTCCTTCTTCAGGACATTTGTACCTCAACTAGTGGGGTGCATGGCATTGTGCCTTATGGCAAATTGCTGGAACTCCGCATACCGTAATTAAAAATCTTGGTACGGAACCCAAAAAAATTTACACAAAATGTGTACACATTATGAAAATCTCTATAAAATATCTGATAATTTGATGTGCATAAGTCCAATAAACTTTTTTGACCGCCAAATGAAATTTTTTTTAACTTATTTTTATTGAAAGTCCATAGCCGCTGGACCTGTCTCCCCAAAAATTTAATAAGTTTTTCATATTGTCAATACAAGTTAAATGTTTTTTGAATTATTAAAATTGGATGCTCCGTTCTCTTAAAAATTGGGATACCGTTTTTGGCACTTTTTGCCCCCTATCTTTGGAACGACTAGACCTGCCTTCATCAACAACTAATCAGCACGTCTCCTTATCAATACGAATCGAATATTTTTTGAATTATTCAAATCCACGGTTGATCCGTGTTCCTGAAATCGTCGACAAAAATTTGTATCCGCACACACATACATACCTCCATTTTTTTTTAACGTATGTCAAAATGTTCAGAAACTTTTGAAACGTAAAGATATATAAATTTTCATTTTCGATTTTTTGCGATTACTATAACTTGCCCTACGGGAAGTAAATAAAAAAATTGATTATACACTTTTTCATCTTTTTTAAAATTGAAAGAAATCTTTTTTTGTTTTATTAACCAAAAATTTTTCATATCAAATACTCAACAAACATCAAAATGTAAACAACAAAAACTATTTGAAAATACATAAAAATTAATTGAATAAAGGAGGCTTTTAGCTCAGAAATTTAACTAGAAGTGTATGTTCCATCTTCAGGACATCTATCAAGAAAATAATCTTGATTAGAAGATAAACCATCAAAACTTATACTTACCTAATAAACATTATAACTGACCAGGTTATAATATAGTATACACAATGAAAATGATAAACGAATGGATTATAATATGATATTAATAAAAAATGTAAATGAATGGCATAAACATACAAAGAAATATAAAAAACAAAGACAATACAAATG